ATGCAGACATTCCTGGCTCTAAAATAACATTTTCTTTGTTCATCAGTCATGTCTCCAGGCCCCTCTGATATTACTCTTGCTTTCTATTTTGAATTTTTATTCAAACAAAAAATTGAAGACTTACTATTATGCAGACTACTGCAATACTGTAATAATTGTATAAATAACATCAACCCATTCATGACTGCATATTAGAATGGCTAGTTGGACATTTATTGGACAATGGCATCATTTGTTTACTTTTGAACATTGGCAAAAATCAAACATTTTCCCTATTTTGAGCTCCATTTCTAGGTTCTTTTTATAGTAAAATCAATCAAAATCACCTCTATTTCTATAATATGTTTTCCATTCTATCAAATGAGACCAAGAAAACGAGAATACAACCATAAATACTATACGAAAATAGACCACAAAGTCGGCATTTTAATTAAAAAAAGTGGTCGGAGTTTTTTTTTTCCCATTATGCACTGCATGCTCCAGGATTTTTTTTATATGGTGCACACTGACCACAGAGACCAATTCTCTCACATGTGGGCCTACCAGCTTTCTCCTGCTTGATTTGAAGCCGCTAGAATTTATGAGTATATATACGTCAAACACGGTACCTCGTAAGACGTATATATACGGCCGTGACAGTCAAAGGGTTAACTGACAAATCCATACTTTCCCTAGGCTTTCTTAACTTGTTTAACTCACTCAAAAAATTTTTCTTATTTTCATTAAAATTTCTTGACAGTGCCTCTCCCACTCTATCATCTGCTCTCCTTTTGCACTCTCTCACCACTCTCTTCACCTTTCTTTTACTCTCCATATACTCTGCTCTTATTATAACACTTCTGCTTTGTAAAAACCTCTCATAAGCTACCTTTTTCTCTTTTATCACACCCTTTACTTCATCATTCCACCAATCACTCCTCTTTCCTCCTGCCCCCACCCTCCTATAACCACAAACTTCTGCCCCACATTCTAATACTGCATTTTTAAAACCTTTCCAACCCTCTTCAACTTCCCCCACTACTCATCTTTGCACTAGCCCACCTTTCTGCCAATAGTCGCTTATATCTCACCCGAACCTCCCCCTCCCTTAGTTTATACACTTTCACCTCCCTCTTACTTGTTGCTGCCACCTTCCTCTTTTCCCATCTACCTCTTACTCTAACTGTAGCTACAACTAAATAATGATCCGATATATCAGTTGCCCCTCTATAAACATGTACATCCTGGAGCCTACCCATCAACCTTTTATCCACCAATACATAATCTAATAAACTACTTTCATTACGTGCTACATCATACCTTGTATATTTATTTATCCTCTTTTTCATAAAATATGTATTACTTATTACCAAATCTCTTTCTACACATAGCTCAATTAAAGGCTCCCCATTTACATTTACCCCTGGCACCCCAAATTTACCTACTACTCCCTCCATAACATTTTTACCCACTTTAGCATTGAAATCCCCAACCACCATTACTCTCACACTTGATTCAAAACTCCCCACGCATTCACTCAACATTTCCCAAAATCTCTCTCTCTCTCCCCTATACTTATATCTTCCCCAGGTGTATACACGCTTATTATAACCCACTTTTCACACCCAATCTTTATTTTGCTCCACATAATCCTTGAATTAATACATTCATAGTCCCTCTTTTCCTGCCATAGCTTATCCTTCAACATTATTGCTACTCCTTCTTTAGCTCTAACTCTATTTGAAACCCCTGACCTAATACCATTTATTCCTCACCATTGAAACTCTCCTAGCCCCTTCAGCTTTGTTTCACTTAAAGCCAGGACATCCAGCTTCTTCTCATTCATAACATCCACAATGATCTCTTTCTTATCATTTGCACAACATCCACACACATTCAGACTTCCCACTTTGACAATTTTCTTCTTATTCCTATTCTGTATGTATATATATATATATTATATATATAATATATATATATATATATATATTATATATATATATATATATATATATATAATATATATATATTTTAATTATTGCAAGAATAAATTTCATGCCTTTATAATTTTCAATTGTTTTAACCCTTTCAGGGTCCAGGCCGTAGATGTACGGCTTTACGTTCAGGGTACAAACCGTAGATCTACGCCATGAGCTCAGCTCACTCTGATAAGCTGTGAGTGGTAAATTTTGGCTTAGATATGAGAGAATACATCTATGTGGTATGTGTGCACCACATAAAACAAATCCTGCAGCACACAGTGTATAATGAGAGAAAAAAACTGAGACCGTAATTTTCGATTAAAACAGCGACTTTGCAGTGTTTTTGCATATGTTTTTAATAGCTGTATTTGTGATTTCTTGATCTCATTTGATAGAATGGAAGGCATATTTCAGAAATAGAGATTATTTTGATTGGTTTTAGCACTGGAAATGGCTTGAAACTGAGCTCAAAGTAGCAGAAATGTTAATTTTTTGCCGATGTTCAAGAGTAAACAAACGAACTCACATGTCTAATACACGCCAGCTGGTGGGTCTAATATACATTCACAAATGTGGTGATGATATTTACACAATTATTACAATATTGCATAACAGTAAATCTTCTATTTTTTGGTTTGAATAAAAATTCATTATGTGAATTAAAAATCAAAATGGAATTAATTTGTAAAGCCTCAAAACATAACTAATGAACAGAGGAAATGTTAGTTTAGTTCCAGGAATACCTACATTGTTTATTCTGGACCCTATTTTGAAATTGGAATATTTTGAACTTTGTGTTAAATTGGCCAAATTACCAATTTCCAATCACTTTATTTTGTAGTTGAAACAGTTGACTTGGCGATTTCTTGTGCTCATTCGATAGAATAGAAGTAATACTAATGAAGTAGCTAAGAATTTGGTCGACTGGAATAATGTAATTGGCCTAAAATGGGAGTCAAAGTCAGCAAAATCGCCGATTCGTAAATACGTATTGCTGACACATCAAAATTCGCGAGAGCGTAATTTCGTCAGTTTTCCATCAAATTTCGTACTTTTTGTTTTATTACCTTCAGAAATAGATTCTCCACCATTTCATAAGAAAAAATAACAAAATTATTTTTTGAAAATTCTTGGACTCTGGTGCACACTTTGAAATTGGCCTCTGGACCCTGAAAGGGTTAAGAGTCATTGTGGTGTCATGTACAAAATTCAAAGAGCAGAAATTAAGACTGTGGGGGGCTATGGAGTTGGGGTTGTCTGAGCATGCAAAGATGAAGCGGGTATATCAGTCTAGGGTGGAAGGAACGAGGGGGGAGGAGTCATCCCAGGAACAGTTGGAGGGGTAAAAAATGCTTTGAGTTTAAGAGGCTTGAGCATCCAGTAGGATTGTATTAGTGTTTTCGAGTGAGTGGAGACAAGTGACTTTTAATAGACATGCTATTGGAGATAGGTTAGGGAAGGTTCGTCGAGAAACAGGAGCTTTAGGTCATCTGACCAAGGCCTTCAACTGACTTACTGGTCCACCCCTTTGCCTTTAACCCTTTCAGGGTCCAGGGGCCAAATTTCAAAGTGCACACCAGTGTCCAAGAATTTTCCAAAAATAATTTTGTTATTTTTTCTTATGAAATGGTAGAGAATCTTTTTCTGACGGTAATAAAACAAAAAGTATGAAATTTGATGGAAAATTGATGAAATTATGCTCACAAATTTTGATGTGTCAGCGATATTTATGCTTCGGCGATTTTTCCGACTTCGACTCCCATTTTAGGCCAATTACCTTATTCCAGTCGACCAAATTCTTAGCTATTTCACTAGTATTACTTCTATTCTATTGATTGAGCACAATAAATTGCCAATTCAGTTGTTTCAACTACAAAATAAAGTGATTGGAAATTGATAACTTGGCCAATTTAAGGCAAAGTTCAAAATATCACAATTTCAAAATAGGGTCCAGAATAAACAATGCAGGTATTCCTGGCACTAAACTAACATTTCCTCTGTTTATTAGTTATGTTTTCAGGCTTTACAAATGAATTCCATTTTGATTTTTAATTCACATAATGAATTTTTATTCAAACCAAAAAATAGAAGATTTACTGTTATGCAATATTGTAATAATTGTATAGATAATATCAGCACATTTGTGAACATATATCAGACCCACCAGCTGGCGTGTATTAGACGTGTGAGGTCATTTGTTCACCCTTGAACATCGGCAAAAATTTAACATTTCCGCTACTTTGAGTTCAGTTTCAAGCCATTTTCAATAATAAAATCAATCAAAATCATCTCTATTTCTGTAATATACCTTCCATTCTATCAATTGAGACCAAGAAATTGCAAATACAACTATAAAAAAACATATGAAAAAACACTGCAAAGTTGCTGTTTTAATCGAAAATACGGTCTCGTTTTTTTTTTCTCTCATTATGCATTGTGTGTCCTGCAGGATTTGTTTTATGTGGTGCACACATACCGCATAGATGTATTCTCTCATATCTAGGCCCAAATTTACCGCTCACAGCTTAAAATGAGCCGAGCTCATGGAGTAGATCTACGGTTTGGACCCTCAACGTAAAGCCGTAGATTAACGGCACAGACCCTGAAAGGGTTCAAAATTAAAATTCAAGCATATGCTGTTAGAATGTGAGCAGGGTAGCTTTCAAGAAGGAATCCAGGAAAACTGGTTACCCAGACTCGAGTCTGGGAGGTGGGCAGGACAGTGCCTGCATTTGGAGTGAAATAGGGATGTTGCAAATGGATGGCTATCTATCTAAATTGCGAGGTCAATACATTTGCAGCATTTAGTGGTTAGTTATGATAATAATAATAATACACTTATGGCAAGGCAGCAATTGAATGAAAAAGTTTTCTTGTTTGGGTCACCCTACCTTGGCAGGAGACAGTGCTGTATGGCCCCTGTGGGTTTAGGTGCTTAGTACCTAAATTCACAAGGGGAGAGGAATAGACTCAATAAATGTTTGTACTGTCTATATCTCTTCTACCCATATATATTTTTTGTTTGATAATCAAATTAACTTGCATAATTAAATTTTATTTCTCATAATTTCATTACTGTGCAGATTTAAGTGAGGTTTCAATTTGATAGCAGTGTGGTTGAGTAGTTGCCTTCGTCTTCAGACCACCCTATCTTAGTCCTGACAGTGGTCTGATTGTACAGGTTATATTTTGAGAAATGAAGTTGATAAATAGCCAGAGAATATATATCCATTTGTCTTTACCACTACTGAAACAACTGTTCCTATGCTAAAATATCACTGCTTATATACAGAAATATTTTTTGTACATAACAATATTTTGAGTCAAAACTCTTTTATAAATGATTACATATTAATTTTATTTAAAAAATAACTAATATTAACAACTGTAACTAAATAGCAATTATTTTATTAATTTTGCAAAACTATCTTATAGACATCTTCATAATGGTCTGCAAAATGAACCTCAAGTCCTTCAGATATAAAACTGGGGAGATCACTGAAGTCTTTCTTGTTCTCAGCTGGCATAATGATACAGCTCACCCCTACACGTTTTGCCTGGAAAATCAAACATTAAATATTATAGAAATACAACAGGATAAAGAGCTACAGAGACACAATTGCAATGATACTAAAGTAATAATGTATTTTTTTTTTCCAACAAACTGGCCAAATCCCACCGAGGCAGGGTGACCTAAAAAGAAAACCAAAAATCTCTCTCTTTTTAAATTTAGTAATTTATACAGAAGAAGGGGTTACTAGCCCTTTACTCTCAGCATTTTAGTCGCCTCTTACGACATGCATGGCTTATGGAGGAAGAATTCTGTTTCACTTCCCCATAGAGAATAATGTAGTTATAGAACACAACAGAAAATACAGAAATCCCTTAAGATTTAAACAGAATGCTACATTCCTGAATGTTGCTGTGAATTCCAAAATCATGAACATTTTAATAACAATGGTAGGAGCAGATGGATAAGTGAGCTAGAGAAAAGTGTTGCCCTCTCTCAGAGCATTTTCTTATATTATTAGTTAGTTGAATATTGTGTCTCTACCCATTTCTGATGCAATTTCTTTTTTCAATGCCATAAAAAACTAACAATTTTTGCTCTGTCGACAGTTTGGATTATCTGTAATAATAGTGCCCTTAACCACTATTTTTTTTTTTTTCAACAAGTCGGTCGTCTCCCACCGAGGCAGGGTGACCCAAAAAAGAAAGAAAATCCACAAAAAGAAAATACTTTCATCATCATTCAACACTTTCACCACACTCACACATTATCACTGCTTTTGCAGAGGTGCTCAGAATACAACAGTTTAGAAGCATATACGTATAAAGATACACAACATATCCCTCCAAACTGCCAATATCCCAAACCCCTCCTTTAAAGTGCAGGCATTGTACTTCCCATTTCCAGGACTCAAGTCCGACTATATGAAAATAACCGGTTTCCCTGAATCCCTTCACTAAATATTACCCTGCTCACACTCCAACAGATCGTCAGGTCCCAAGTATCATTCGTCTCCATTCACTCCTATCTAACACGCTCATGCACGCTTGCTGGAAGTCCAAGCCCCTCGCCCACAAAACCTCCTTTACCCCCTCTTTCCAACCCTTTCGAGGACGACCCCTACCCCTCTTTCCTTCCCCTATAGATTTATATGCTTTCCATGTCATTCTACTTTGATCCATTCTCTCTAAATGACCAAACCACCTCAACAACCCCTCTTCTGCCCTCTGACTAATGCTTTTATTAACTACACACCTTCTCCTAATTTCCACACTCCGAATTTTTTGCATAATATTTACACCACACATTGCCCTTAGACAGGACATCTCCACTGCCTCCAACCGTCTCCTCACTGCTGCATTTACCACCCAAGCTTCAAATCCATATAAGAGTGTTGGTACTACTATATTTTCATACATTCCCTTCTTTGCCTCCATAGATAACGTTTTTTGACTCCACATATACCTCAACGCACCACCCACCTTTTTTCCCTCATCAATTCTATGATTAACCTCATCCTTCATAAATCCATCCGCCGACACGTCAACTCCCAAGTATCTGAAAACATTCACTTCTTCCATACTCCTCCTCCCCAATTTGATATCCATTTTTTCTTTATCTAAATCATTTGATACCCTCATCACCTTACTCTTTTCTATGTTCACTTTCAACTTTCTACCTTTACACACATTCTCAAACTCATCCACTAACCTTTGCAATTTTTCTTTAGAATCTCCCATAAGCACAGTATCATCAGCAAAAAGTAACTGTGTCAATTCCCATTTTGAATTTGATTCCCCATAATTTAATCCCACCCCTCTCCTGAACACTCTAGCATTTACTTCTTTTACAACCCCATCTATAAATATATTAAACAACCATGGTGACATTACACATCCCTGTCTAAGACCTACTTTTACCGGGAAGTATTCTCCCTCTCTTCTACACACCCTAACCTGAGCCTCACTATCCTCATAAAAGCTCTTTACAGCATTTAGTAACTTACCACCTATTCCATAAACTTGCAACATCTGCCACATTGCTCCTCTATCCACTCTATCATATGCCTTTTCTAAATCCATAAATGCAATAAAAACTTCCCTACCTTTATCTAAATACTGTTCACATATATGCTTCAATGTAAACACTTGATCTACACATCCTCTACCCACTATTATTTACTATTATTATTGCTATTACAGCGAGTTCTATACTTATGAACATCCGAGTTAGAGACAATCTGCACTTACACTCGAGTCACTTTACACCAATTTTTATAAATGCTGATCTGCAGATAAAGATCTCCCCTCAAAAAATGATTTCAGTGGCATTTTTTTCACCAAATACATTGAAATTATGTGTGTTTATTTTACATATATACAGAGGCTGTATATTTGTTTCATTGAAATTTGTGGACATAATAATAACAATTTTGTTAACCCGTAAACGGTCCAAACGTATACATACGTTCTTACCACTAGTGCCTCCAAATTTGGCATGATTGGCCTGAGATGCCTGGTCAGCAAAGAATGGGTCTTAATACTTGGTGTGCACAGTACAGTATTAAAAAAATATGGGACCACTTTCTACCTTGTGGGAGCACCAGTTCAAATGAGCGCCTGCTAGAGCAAACAGCGCAGCAAACACCTGGGATTCACTGATTTCAAGTAGTATTAACACTCCCATTTTAAGAGGAAAGTTATGACCCCAAGTTTACTGGCTTTGAGGTGGATGTGGCCATAAGTGGTCGAGGATATATCAAAATCACAATAACCCATGTGCAACATTTGTGCGACACCTTTTCACGATGTCTTATAACCTATGCCCTAAGTAAAGAGAAACAATTCTGGAATGTGTAATAAGTGTTCGGCTGGCTGGCTGGCTCTATCTCCGTCTGTCTGTATCTATGTCTATCTCTGTGTATCTCTATGTCTATCTCTGGCTTGCTGGCTGGCTGGCTGGCCAATTGGCTGACTGGCCAACTGGCTGGCTGGCCAACTGGCTGGCTGGCTGCTGGCTGGCTCTGTCTCCGTCTGTCTGTCTGTATCTATGTCTATCTCTGTGTATCTCTCTGTCTGTCTATGTCTATCTCTTGCTGGCTGGCTAGCTGGCTGGCTCTATCTCCGTCTGTCTGTCTGTATCTATGTCTATCTCTGTGTATTTATGTCTATGTTTATTTCTGTCTATGTCTATCTCTGCCTATCTGTCTCTGTCTATCTGTCTCTGTCTATCTCTTTCTATCTCTATCTCACAGGTACACACAAATACAATTATACATAGTGTAAATTACCTAGGATAACCCAAAAAATCCACACAAAGTATTATACTGTGCTTGTAGACATAATGCATAAGAATACCTGTTGGTTCACAGTGGCTCTCTCTGAGACAGATAGACAAGCAGACGGAGACAGATAAGCAGAGATAGTGATAAACAGAGCTAGACACACAGATAGATGGAGAGCTAGACAGACATGTTTATGTGTAACAGTAAAAACAAATAAAGCCAGGGCTGACACTAATCATATGTCACCACTTATCTTATCACTGCACTGTCAGCAATGAACTGACACATATCTTACATCATGCTTCAAGGGAACTTATTATTATTATGTACCCTCGTGTATCCAAAACATTGCTGGGACCTATAAATACTTTGTATACATTCCTAGTCAATAGTAAATGACCAAGGCAGGTGTAAATGTCCATCTGTCAGTGTGTTTGTGACAATTTGAGTACAATTTCAGTACCTAATTTTAGTGTCAGAACAAAGATTGGTTATGAAATGACAAGAACTACAATAAATTGTAATTATCAGAACATAAAAATTATATAAAATATTATAAAAATGAGAAAAAAAAAGGTATATCATCAACACTTCTGCAAGCGGCAGGACTCGATGTTGCCGTCAGGTGAGCATCCAGTGTCAACTTCACAGCCTCATATCTCGGTAAGTACTGACCCAAATTTTTTTTATCCTATAACACTTAGAAAAATGTTCTCTTTATTTCTATATTTTTTTTTTTTTTCAAAATATTCAGGGCACTGGGCGAGAGATGTATATATATGTTTGGAGCGTTTAGGGGTTAAAAGTTGAATTATCAGTGTAATTTTTTTGCTATTTTTTTTTTTTTTTTTTTACCAAAAAGATTGATATTTTGTTTACTTTCATTTTATTAGTGTGTGAAGAGCTCATGTTTGTTTGAAATGATAACTTAATTTCCGAAGAAGATGAATTATATCTCTGTGGGGTAGTGGAGCAGAATTCTTCCTCCGTAAATCATGCGTGTTGTAAAAGGTAACTAAAATGCCGGGAACAAGGAGCTAGTTACCCTGCCTTATTGGGATACGGCTGGTATGTTGGAGGGAAAAAAATTAATTAGAGTTGCCATAGTAGGCTCAATCTAAATTTCTTACATACAAAACCCACCGCTATGCATAGCATTTTGAGCAGTCTGAAGCTAATGCTAATACTAACAGTATATAAATACACTGAGCAATGCATACAAATATAGTATGTACACACTAAGATATTAAACTGAATAATACTTTAATAGAAATTTTAGTGAAAAATGAGCATGTAATGAAAGACAAAGAAAATTAAATTTAATGTTAAATTGAAGCTTAATTTTAAAAGAGTTACAAAAACAAATAAGGAAGTAGCTGTAACAATGGTTGATGATATGATTAAATTTAAAATATAAGAAACATGGCATAATTTATATCTTGGACAAAAGCTGCTTTTTTTTTTTTTTTCAACAAACCGGCCGTATCCCACCAAGGCAGGGTGGCCCAAAAAGAAAAACGAAAGTTTCTCTTTTTAAATTTAGTAATTTATATGGGAGAAGGGGTTACTAGCCCCTTGCTCCTGGCATTTTAGTCGCCTCTTACAACACGCATGGCTTACGGAAGAAGAATTCTGTTCCACTTCCCCATGGAGATAAGAGGAAATAAACAACAATAAGAACTAGAAAGAAAATAGAAGAAAACTCAGAGGGATGTGTATATATACATATATATGCTTGTACATGCATGTGTAGTGTGACCTAA